CCAACAAAAATTTAAGCAATAAGACGAGTAGTAAGAAAATTAATACTAGGGATCCCCCCCTCCTCTCTCTCTACTGCTTACATTATTGTTTTACATTCTCTGTTGTGATTGACCGATTCGTTTACTGCTTATGTCTTATTATCTTGTATTCTTTATAGTATAGTGCTATAATGCTTTTAAAAATAATAAATAAATTATATATACAAGTTAAAACTGTCACTTCGAATTTAAAATGTCATTGTTTGCCTAGAAACGCATATATTTGATCTAACTGTTGATTTAAGAAACTTAAAAAATTTCTTTTCAATCTCTTGTAAGATTTATAATTTCATTATCCTATTATTTTTACAAGTCAAAAAAGTATTGCATAATCTCGAAAATTAGGAATATGCGATCGAAACACCATGATCAAGATTGACCTGTGAATGATCAACGAAGTGCATTGCATATGGATTCGGCCAAGCTGAGGTATGTAATCGCCGTATTCAATGCAAAGTATGCCGACGACGCGTCACACAGATGTCACGAAGGTGACACTTATACGATATCCCGCTTACAAACGAGTAGATTTAAACGGTGCACTGTTAAATATCGAAGAAATAACGGCAACTTCTTATCCCTTGTGAGTTAAATAACATATAGAAGTTAAAATAACAATTTTGTTATTTTTAACTTCTATATGTGTTACAATATAAATCAATCCATTTCTATGTAGTTAGTTTCAAAGTAAAGTGGTTCATATAAATGTATGCATTTAGCAAATAATAAACTAAATTTGGGTCATTTAATACATTTTCTTGAGTTAAATTATTTAATTCTATTATTTTAGTTAAACTAACGACATATATATATTGAGTAGAAGCACTGGCGAGAGGCTTATAAAAATAATTAAAAATAACTCAAACTCACTTGTCGGTATAATTTGAGATTATGAATTTAACAGTTCGTTTAGCTTTTATAGTAGTATTATAATATTATACTATTTATACTAGTATTAATCTGATACATCTGACGTTACTTTGTTTAAAAATATCTGCGATCAAAACTACATAAAATTTAACATTTCGGCGATTTGGACAACTCGTCGAAATAAATTCGTTGCGCAAATTCGATTAAAAAAATTTTTTTTATCTTAAATATCCATGGCGAAATGTGCTTTGACAAAATCTTGCGTTCGCGCGCATTTTCCCGTCAAATTCGGCGAGCACGTGGTGAGGAATGACGACTCGTGATACCGGGGTTCACATGAGCTTCAACACGGAGTCTTCTTTCCCCCCACTTCGGACACCACGTGTTTTACAGCGATGCCGAAGCAATGGCGATACGCAGTATCGATGTCGACTGAAGAAAACCAAACGAGACGAATGTTTGAACAATGCATATCTCAATTTCGATATTTATCGATATTTATCGTTACAATAAACATTTATAAACTCTTATGAAATGGATTTTATGCCATTTTAATGTTAGAATCAATAATTGTTAAATTGGGCTGATCTTACGACTTACAGTGAAATAATTGAGTTCCGAGTCAAACGAATAGTAACGCTTACAACAATTACAACCTCCAATTACAATCTTAGCTTAAGTAGCATCTACAATGAGATTTTAAGGTGTAAACTTTAAACAAGGAATTGATCAATCACAGTCGATTGTTCTTCTGTGTAGGTGTGGTCTCTATAGGTCTAAAACCATATTCGAAGGAGGAGAATCTCCACCTTCTCTAAATCTATGGTTTTAACAACTAGCGTTTAAGATTATCAAACTGCGGAGACATGGCTTAAAAAGTAATAATGTTTTACAAGATAAAGTTACATATAACAAAATTAATGCCTATTTCCACCAACATAGATTAACTTTAATCTCGATTTAACTTACTCTTCGTCTTTTTCTAATCTTTTAAACTAGAAAAAGACGAAGAGTAAGTTGAAAACCAAGATTAAAGTTAAACTACATTGGTGGAAACGGGTATAAATCATCCTTCCACCGTTACCCATAATGAAATGCGACTCGATCATATGAACCTACATTGTCGTAATGCATTATAATTATAGGTAATGGTAGATAAGTACAGGCTAAATTGATATTTTAATTTTCTTTTATTAGCACAATATTACAAGCAAGAATTAGAAATCAGTATTTCAATTTAGAACAAATAAATTTTTAAATAAATTAAATAATTTCATTTATATATTATAAAATTAATTTAATTTAATTTAATTTAATGTAAAATGCAAATAGAAAAATTTTTATTAATTATAGGCAGAATATTAGGCATGTGTGTGGTCTTCTTCTTTTTAACAAAAAAAAAGTTTAAAATCAAATCACGCAAGAATCGTCTCGTAGGTATCCTTATTTATGAATGCACTCGTAGCTCAGATGGAAGAACCATCTTTTCAGGTTAAGTTCATTCATATGGAAATATATAGTTCGAATCCCGTGTCCCTCTCCCCCCATTCTCTACCTGCGAACTTTTTTTTTCAAAATGCTAAAACTGAATTTTTTTTTTTTAGAAAATGAATAATTTGTTTAGACGATATATAAATTTGTTATAAAAGCTTAAAAAAATTAACAAAGTTATTTAAAATCAGATTATACTCAAGATCATTAGAGAAGACCATTAAGAATTTAACAAACACAAGAGTAGACCCAAGAGTCGTTTTTGGTCAATTTATTGTAGGGGAGAGTGGTCTAAACCGTGTTTTAAATAAGATTTTTTTAAATCTGAATGAACACGGTTAAGCAGAGTTGCGTACGATCCATATTGATCAATATTCTCATTACCAAATTTAAGTTAAACACTTAAATTATTGTTGAATTAGAAAAAGATTCGTCAATAAGATTCAAGCTGGATTTAAACCAAAGAAACGGATCTAAAAAGTTGTGACGATATTTTACATTAGCTATGGTGCATATAATAAATAGGTGATAATAAAATATTAAGTTTCAATTGCTTTTATTATAAATTTCTCCTTTGATAGATTAAACTTGTTTATTAACAAATACGGTGTAAAAAAATAAAATTTTCAACTTTTATATTTTTTAACAATTTACTTATAATTGTAAAAAAATTTAATTCTAATATCTTATTTAAAAGAAAGATCTATCGATAGAACTTGGACCGGAAATACGCAAACCGAAAGTTAAACGTTAGGTGTGCTTCACTACGTTCATTATTCACTACCATTGAATAACTCAGTGGCAGTGAATAATGACTCGATAATGACGCTTGAACCATAAAAGGTGCTATATCGAGAAAAGTATGAAGAAGGATCTATGTCAAAAAAGTAATGACAAACGGTCTATCTCGCGCGAAGCGTGAAGACCGGTCTATGTCGGAACATGTGTGAAGTACGGTTTATATCGAGAAAAGCAAGAAGAACGGTTTATGTCGCATAACCCTTTAAAGATGGGTTATCAGGGTTTATATCACGCTATGTTTCCTTTTCATAAATTTTGTAGTGATATGACTGAGGACAGGTAACTAAAATTGTGTAATTTCTAAATATGAAACATTTTTTTATTTCTAAATATGTAGCATTTTTTAACCGAAAATAAAAATTATACAGTGTTCTTTTCGTGTTAGATAAATAAATGTGTAACATTGTTGAGTTTTTACATCTGAATAATTTAAATTATATGACATGTGACAAGAGTTTGGATTTACAAACCAGTATTATTTTAATTATATTAATTAACAATTATGCTAATTTAACTTAACAACAATTAGCTTAACAACGGAGATTTTTAAGATTTAATTTGCGCTTGCATATCACTACAAAATTTATGAAAAGGTAACATAGCGCGATATAAACCCTGATAAATCCTTCTTCAAAGTCATGCGACATAAACCGTTCTTCTTGCTTTTCTCAATATAGCACCTTCTACTGCTCAGGCGTCGATACAGTATGTCACTTAATTTTGAACAACTGTTAATTTTCCGATAGAAAATAAGGAATTATGCACTCATGTTTTGTTTTGTATAATAAACACCTTTCAAGTTATTTGCAAACATTTTTTTAATTAAAGCTGATTTTCATTTCCTAGTTCTTGCCTGCCCCTTTGTTAGAAAAAAACTGTTATTAAAACCGTCCTGTACATATATTTAAAAAATTACATAAAAATTGCGAGCAAAATAAAATACATTTTACTCCACAAAATCAATATAAAAATTTAGAATTACAATTTTTTCGATATCCATTCAATTTTCAAAAAACCTGACATTCTCTTCTAAAAGCTCATTAATAATTAATGAATGATGCAGAAAGTGAAAGGGGACCTAATCTAATCGTTAACAGCGAGGCCCGCTTTCGCTCATTAATATGGCAGTTCGACGCAACCGTGATTCGTATAACGCGAATAATTATTTCATACAATCGTACGACTATGCCACAATTACCATTGCCTTTAAGAAAAAAATGTCGCATCATTATTTCAGTTTATTAGAAGTTCAGCGTTGATCTAGAATCCATTCTAACATGAGATTAAGATCTAATTAAGATCAAGTTGTTAGTTAGTAAGTTGCTCTTGAGGAATATTAACTTAATAATGTCTTAAATATATATTCAGGATGTCACGTGACTCTATGTACGAATGTAACCGATAACTTCCGTATTCGATCCATAGGTATGAGGATCCTTCTTCTATGTTTATAAGAAATTGATTGAAAAAATTAGAGTTTTGTAAGATGTTGTCAAATACTATTATTTGCGTTTCTTCTTATATCGCAACACACCAAAAGCTCATTCTACATTAGACGCAAGCTGATCGCAAGTTTGTTGCAACTTGCAACAACCAATATGAAGTGTTTATTTCAAAATGCAAGCTTCATTGGCTGTCGCAACAACTTGCGATTGGCTTGCGTCTAATATAGAATAGGCTTATCAAAGAAGAAATAACAAAAAAAAAAGTAAAACCTAACGACATCTTATATAAAGACGCTCGAAAAACGAGTTTTTTTTTTCAGGTGCACACTGCAATTTCTTTCACTAAACACTTACTTATACCTGGCCCGTCATTGTTCATTCCCCTGTCTAACTGCATGCCAATGTGCATTCTTCTTTCTCGTTCAAAATAAAAACTTTGAATCTCTGAATCAGCGGCATATGAATGTTAAGATCTTATAAAGAAGATCGGAGAGAAGAAGTCTTTAACGATTCTGAAGATCAGCAATCCATTGAAAAAAGAAAAGAAGAGCGAATGTTGCCACGATAGTTTCTTACGTGTCGTGGACGAATTTTCCTTTAGAAGTCACGACATCCGTGCGGCTCACGCGTGCAAATCGTTCTCTCGCGAGGCGCGCTTGGCGTAGAAAACCGGTTTCGGTAGAAGTCCGCGCGTCCGATTCGCTCGCGACAGCGACGTCGGCGGCGACGTGATCGTCGATCGATTTCCCCAACGCGGCCGCATTTGAGACGAGCTTCTCGTCGCGATGCGGCGCGACGCGCGTCCGGCGTGTCGCCGAAACCAATCGTCCCCGCCAGCTCCGGACACGGTTGCCACATCCAGTTCGTCTTTCCTATAGGAAGTATAGGTACTTCCAACGATGACGATCGACGAGCGTAATAAAGTTCTCTCGATCGCGCCGGTAACCGAAATGAGTCGATCGAGCACACGTGTTATTGAAACCACAGTACGCGTTATCGATCCGCGGATTCCGCGGGAGTCTTAACAAGAGTCACGCGAGAATCGACACTCCGCGACACCCCAATCTACACCGGTCGGTGGTCCGCGCGCAACTGACGACAGTGACGACTGGTGGTGGTGGATTGAAAAGGCGTCGCGCCGAGCGGCCGACCGTCGACGAGCGAACTCGCGACTTCTTAACTTTTACCCGTCTATTGTGATCGGGAGAGGGGGAAAAGATTTAAAGCGCGTCGGCGGTCACGATTAAGGCTGCCGCCAGAGGAAGACCGAAGAAGACTAAGGAAACTTCACCTCAGTCTAACCAGCCCTCACATTAGAACATGGACCGATTTTGCATTTCGAGTTAAGTCTCAATTCTCGGCACACGCGACACTTGTGCACTTTGTAATCCTGCGCATAATGAGTGTGCCGTAGGAAAAAGTATCACGAACGTAATTTAACTCCGTAAAGGCGATTTTGTCTGCGGTTAATCTTCCTTCCTGACGAAGATTAATTTTTGAGACGAAAAATGTACTTTTCCATAAATAGCTGCCATTTTGAAAAAAATTAATATTTTCAAAAATCCCTACGTACTTCAGAAGCTTATTATATGTAGATAATGGATACTTTTGTTGCTTTGTTCCAGGATAAACCAGTTCTGCTTTTCCGCTGAAATTGTACTGCGTGTAATATTAGGAGATCAAAACAGGCGGAACAGAACACGCGGAAACGCGGAAATCTAGTAAAGTTTAGTTAATTTTGTCTTCTGCGTTTCTGCGTTTCTGCATTTCCGCGCTTCATGTAATGGTACCCTAACACACATTCTACAACAAGCCGTTAGTAATAAATTAGAAGTCAGAAGCTAGAAATTGACCAATCATAGTCAATTATTCTTCTTACATTTGACTGTAATTGATCAATTTTTAAAATATTCTGACTTCCGATTTATTACTAATGGCTTATTATAGAATGGCCATAAGACTTTTGGCTCATGATAACGAATAAGTCTGACATAATCTTATGTTTATCGCAGGCAGATTCGGTCATTTGCTTCTGAACTTTCAGCATGTCACTAAAAAAAAATGATGTTATCAATAATCAATAGCATTATTCTCATTGAAAATAATTTTGTTAATTTAGTAACACTGTTAAAGAGATCTTAAAGTCTGTATGACCGATTAAATCATATAATTTTTGTACAATTATTTTTTTCCTCTTTTACTGATTCGGAAATCTTTTCAGGATTACCCCGGATCTACAATAGGTGTTTTAAGCCTTAAGCCGTAATAAATTGACCAATTACAGTCGAATCCGAGAAGAATAAGCGACCTATTCATTTTTTTTTAATGAACACAGCAGTATTGTGATTTCCGAACGCAGCCTAAAGCCCGATTTTACAATACCTATATGATTACCTAAAGAATAAAGGTAATTAGAAATTCATGAATGAATTTCACTGATGAATCTGTTGGTAACTTTCAATGTTTAGGAAACCTATAATATATTGTGAAAATGGTCCTAAATGTTAAACCGGTACCTGAGTAGGTAAAGAAATTGTGAAGAATTATCTTCTTTTGTCCCCACTAATTAGACCACATAAATAATTTCTAAGAAATAGATGAAACACATAGGAAATATCTTCTGTGACAGAAGATATTTCCTATGTGTTTCATCTATTTCTTAGAAATTATTTATGTGGTCCATTAGTGGGGACAAAAGAAGATAATTCTGTGACAGAAGATATTTCCTATGTGTTTCATCTATTTCTTAGAAATCATTTATGTGGTCCATTAGTCACACGTCAGTTTCAATTACAATTAACGTGCGAAGAACCTTTGTTTTCGAAACAAAGTTTGTTTGACAGAAGTTCTGTCAAACAAACTTTGTTTCGAAAACGAAGGTTCTTCGCACGTTAATTGTAATTGAAACTGACGTGAGTATCAAAAATGTTCACCGTTACGAAGTAAATGTGCGGTTGAACGAACGATACGTCTTATCTGCGACGTTTTTAACAGATAACTTGATCCTAATATTTTAGATTCGCATTCGCATTGCCCTAATGACTTATACGACGATTACATGATTCCTCTTGGTCGTTTCGGCAATTTCTTCGCTGGATGATCACGCGCTTGCGAAACAAGTGCACGGCATCAAACTCACAACAAATCGCGATTAACTTCTCAATTGCGCTTCAATGCTGTCAAGGTCCTAAGCCGCTCGCATCTTATATTTGCAGTGTTTTCATAAACACGAGTAAAGAGCAAAAATATGAGCTCAATTTAATCAATTAAGATATGTGAGAATGGATTTAAGCTATGTGTTTTATGTAAATAGTTAGATGTTTTCGTTTCCTTTGTAACATAATACTGAATATAATTATTATTGACAAATAGATAATAAATCTAGAGATTTACAGATTCTACATCAAATAGTAAAAGTAATCTTAATCTAGTAGGAGTACATAGTAATAATGTAATTAAATCTTAACTTTTCTTTATTCTATATAATATTATTTTATGATAATTTATTATTTATGTTCAAGTATTTTAGCTGTTCTATAAAAAGAACTTTTTAAGAAAAAGAAATGTTTTAAAATAAATTTAATATTTTTATACAAATTTTATATTATTACACTGACAGATTTAGAAGAACGTGATTGGTAAAATGTTTATACACCTATAATATATAATTAGTTGAAAAAAGTTAACGGAAGATTTGATTAATTAATTGCTATTCGAAAGAGACGTGTATAAAATTAATTCTTAAATAATTCTTTTAATATTCTTTATAGTAATTTTTACCCACTGAAATCACGAAATGACATTTCGATATAATCGTAGTGAATATTCTCAAAATAGCATTTATTTTATACGTGCTTTTATAAATGTTTTTCTGTACACGATCTTTTCTTTCTTTTCTCACGCTATATTAACAGAAGTAATTTGATATTAGATAATAGCTTCTTAAACACACTAATAGCAATTTAACAGTAGTAGAAGTCGCTTTTATCTTATCAACGTTGTATCATATTTTACTATCTATGATGTACTACGACAAACGACGCATGTGTTTTGATAAAATAAATGTAAATACAAAATCTAAATGTAGATATAGACACTCACCCCGAAATATTCGCCTTTCGTAAATTTTCGTTATCAACCGAAAATGCACTGTGTAAATAGAATTCTAATATAAAAATCATTGTTGTAATAATAGCTATCAATAGCAAATGAATGATTTTTTGTTAGAAAATATAAGTAGTTTCTAACCCTAATAGCATAATTCATCGGCGCAACGTTGGCCCAATGTATTCCCAATGTATGCCAACGTTTAACCAATTTTGTCAATGAATTGTGCTGCTCGTAGGAAGTTTGGTCTCAGACACTCAATGTCCAAAGGTTATCAGAAGATCAGCAAACACACAAAAAGATCCTTTTGCTTTCAACTTGCTTTTAAAATGGCATTAATTATACTGTAATATGAGATAGAGAAATGTAAAAATAATTTAATAAACGGAACTTTAACACTTCCGGATAATACCTTTTGATTTTTATTCCCAGAATAGCGTGACATTTTAGTTATAAATTTTCCCGTTTTGTTTATTAACATTACTTATTATTAAAAAACGTAATTCTCTGACCAAAAAAGGACTAAAATAGAAATATTCTGATACTGAATAGTACCTTAAAACATAAATCGTACAAAATTGTCATTTAAAAAATATTGAGTTGAAGATAGACTAAGCAGCGAACGGTACAGTAGAACAGAATAGGGATAAACTTCTGAAAATTTCAGTATCCGATTGTCATGAATCTTGGCCGAAATAACGACTCCAAATGACGTCAAATGAATGCCCTTGAATGGATTTTCACCGACAAGAAAGTTTAATGCCAAAAATGTTTCAATGAAGTTATGGAAGTTTGTATTTATTATTTTCAGTGTATTACATGTTTATCGCAGTTTATATAGGAGTTGAATGGAGAGGATGCGTATATAGAAGGAAAATATTTATTGTTATATAAACCCATATGCAACAGTACAATTATGAAAGTGCACCCCTTTGGTAGAGGGGAGTAGGGTAAAAATCGCTTCATGTGGAAAGTCAAAATCCACGTGCAACAGTACAATTATGGAAGTCGTGTGCTCCTTAAGCAGGGGGAAGGAGGGGGAGAGTCGCTTCGCATGGACAGTAAAATATATTTTAAAGCAGAAAATTTTTGTTCTATATAGTAAAAAAAAAAACATTATTTTTCAAACTTATCCTCTACATATTATGGAACTTTAATTGACTATATCTTCTATATCAATGCTAAACGTATGTCAAGATCAAGAGCATCGGAGCTGGTTCCATTATTGTCGATATTTACCATAATAAGCACAAACTTCCCTAACTTCATTCAAACATTTTAAGCATTAAACTTTCTTGTCGGTGAAAATTCAATCAAAGGCATTCATTTGACGTCATTTAGAGTATTTCTACCAAAATTCATGTATAATCGGGCGTTGGACGTTTTCGGAAGTTTACTCCAGAATAGAGACAGGAAAAAATACGGTATATACGGAAAAGCAGAAAGCGGAAAAGCAGTGACCAATGAGAACTCGCGCTGGTAGTAAGTAGTACAAAAAGCCGAAATTGTAGATTACCAGCGCGAATTCTGATTGATTGCTGCTTTTCCGTCAAGATGTGAACGTTATATACAATTCACATCGCAATAAAATCTAAAACTTTTTAGATAATCAATCTGTCTTAGGAGAAAAGTAGAGATAGGTCAGAATAGTAACTGTAAAGATTCTGTGTAGCAGTGAATCTGTTAGATATATTATAATAGTAAATCTATTTATATATACAAGAGACTTCATGCATTAAATTTGTCATCTATAATAGATTTCAAGTGATACATAAATGTAAGACATTGCTGAGCGATTATTCATTCTGTCGAACAGAGATTGTAAGAGCGCTCATAAAAACATAATAAAGAAAAATTCTCTTCCTTGAGACGTACACTACTATTTTATCTACACTACTATTTTATCAGATTTTATCTCTCCGATATTCATCGGTGGTACGCAAGAAACGCACCATACCATCTCATACGGAGAACATACGAAGCTCGTACAGGATGTATATTTATACGGCGGTATAAACTAGACCACTAAATAACTCGCTCGTGTGAGTCGCTATTAGCGCGTGCCCTCTAAATGCCTTGCGCAAATCCGCACGGGCTCCTTTAATAATTTGTGCAAATCGTGGACAGCGGGCGAAAAGATTCGCACTCCTCGTTAGCTCGTCGACGCTAACACAAAGAGGACATTCGCGTTTTCGTCGCCGCGTCCACGAGATGCTCGTTCGGCCGCCCTGATTGCGACACGTTTAATATCCCGGGTACTAATCGCAATACTAACTTCACATTGTTGATGTTCTAGACGTGAAATATTATTTTAGTAAGAACCTAGAGCCTGTACTTTCGAAATTGACAAAGAAAACTTAGGTGAATTGTGTCAGATAAATCTATCTTCTTTTTTTTCTGTCTTTATTTAGTTCCTATTGAATACGTCAAATAAGAATAAATGCACCTTAAAAGTTTATAAAGATGTATCTAATAATTCTTTTCTACAAAGAATTTCTATAATGATTTGAAAAATCTGTTTTTTATTGCTGCACTCTCTGAACTGCATATGGTGCAATAAATTGAAGGGAAACAAATATATGTTTGTTTCATTTCAATTTATTGCGCCGTGTGCAGTTCAGAGAGTGCAGTAATAAAAAACAGATCTTAAAATGTACTCTCTAAATTTAAATCAATGGATAGTCACTAATTACCCAGTGATATACTTAGCACTGATAATCAGTGAAGTTCAATTAAAAATGGAAGAATGTTTGAGCATTATGTAACTAAAATACTAACATTTTCACGTTAATTTCAATCTTCCAATACCGTATTCATTGAATTTAAGCACTAAAACAAGATTAGTTAGATCACATAATAAAGACTAGCTAGGTTAGGGATGTCATATTTAATTCACTGATTACCAGTGGCATACTTGGCACTGATAACAGTGATTATCCACTGATTCAGATTTAGAGAATATGATAAAACGATTGTGCCAAGATATTCAATTAATTAATGAAGTATTGACGTTATCAGTCTTGGAATCTAGAATTTAAATGAAATTAATGAATAAATCATTATATAAGTAATTATTATTAATGATTTCGATTATTACATAATAATCACATAACAAACGATTCGACAGGCGCGTGTTAATAAAAACACAAACGGTCGTGAAACTTGGAGCATTTTCGTACTACAAAATTAATCTGATGCTACGCCTAAACTTAATTCGATTTATTGAAAGATAAGTGACAGATTGCGGTTATTATAGAAAGTTGCGCAATTACATTGAAGTCGCAGTATCTGGGTGGAAAAATATGAGCGGCGCAAGTTTTTGTTGGCATAGTCACTATGCGATTCACGACGAGATGACAGACTAGATCTCTCATGTCAGTCCAATGACCGAAACATGTCAAGGAAACTATCCGATTAGCAGTGTGTGTATGCGCACTCGTAAGAGTAACGGATTGAAAAATATATCGTACGGAAAGCACGAGACGTCGCAGAGACGGAGGAGCTACAATGATTCACGATTCATGCTTCTTTTTCCGATTCAATGTAAAATTTTCGAGAACGAATAGAGATCTCTCGGCTGTCCCTCGTTTCGAGGAGACTTTGCTGTCAAATTGCCAGAAGCCGATTTTCGACGCCCGGCTCTATTTATAAATGTCGTACAGACAAGCACATCATCATAAAACATTACTTAGCAGGCGCCAATTGTCATCGATCGAACAATGTAACGCGCCATCGACGATCAAATTTTGCAATTTAATCGCGCTCCTTGTCGAACCGTAGAACAAATGACAGAAAGCTTGCGCCAGGCGAAATTTTTCGCGGTTTTACTTATCTCCGCCGAAATTTATCGCGTATCTACACTAATTAGCATTGTAACAGATAAACGCATCGTTACAATGATGCTCGTACAGATAACGTTAAGATAAGTAATTTTGCTCGGAAACGATCTACATCGTTTTGGTAAACACTTGAAATTTAGTAAATCGTAAATTCTGTATACAACTCTACTTTTCGAAGTTTACAGTTAAAGTAATCTTTAACAATAACGAGTATATGTTAATGGTTCTTACATTAAGAACTGTATATTTTACCCCAAAAATGACATGAAACTTTGTTTTGTATTAATATATTTGATTTTTGTAAATTACGAAAAATTTGTTTTAAAAAACACAGTCTATTCCATTACCGATTAATAAACGGCGAAACTTTTGATATAACTCTCACTTAAGATTTTCTTTACGAATCGGTTACGCATATTCACACTTCGTGTTAAAGATCTAAACGCTCTGACGAGACGAAGATATCGTAGGTAGGCGACGATAAGAAGCAAAAGTAAATATACAACGCTCTGAGTTAGATAACCCGCACGACCCTTTTAGTGTCAAGAAGCCAGGAATGGAAGATTTCGTAACCAAAGAAACAGCTTTGAAGAACGTTTTCAATGAATAAGCTGTTCTTTTCAATGAATAAGCAATTCTTTTCTTTTGATTCGGACCAGTACCGACGCATTTATTTCTATAACTTTCGACTAAATTTCAGCTTAGTTCCTATCTCACTTCTACAATCGCTGCGAGGTGGTCTAAATGCAGACTAGCGATGGGAAGCGAATTGATTGATGAAATTTGTAAATAAATTCCAGTACTTCAGGTAAAATGATACTGATTGAGAAACTAAGGATATTTGGAATTAAAATAGGTATTTCCTATTTCGTATCTTTTTTTAGGAGACATAATAGGAGACATAAATCATGAACGCATTGTTCATTTTTAGAATAGGAAACGCAGTCAATAAAAGAAGGAATAGCTCTTCCTTATATTGTGATTGGTTGAATAGAAAGAGACAGAGACTGGCCGTCTTTGATCTCTCTTTATCGACCAATTTTATACACGAATGTTGCAATTCATACTCTATGTCTTTGTGTGATATAGGATCTGTTCTTTATTCCTGCACTATCTGAACTGATGCACACGGTATAAAACATATATTTGTTTCGCTTCAATTTATATTGCAGCATGTGCATCAGTTCAGGTAATGCAGGAATAAGAACAGACCCAGTATAATTCGGTGTACCGAAAGAAAAAAAAGAACAGGTGTTGTGAAGATCTCTTGACGCCGGTAGACTCTAGGATCTAAATTTAATGACATACGACAAATACACTTACACACATACGTACGTACGCAGAAAGAGAAAAAGAAAAAGAGGAAAGGGGAGAACTCGAGGCGCAAGCGCGAGACATGCGACTAGAATACGCGTTTGTCTCGTAATAAGTGCTCCACATGACGAAGCCGGAAAGATACTCGCTCTAGTGTCGCGTCGCGCTGAGTGCCGGTATTTTTAATATCGTCTCTATGTTTAGCCCCGGCGAATGGAACGTCATGCAGTCGTTGTCGTCTTCGTCGTCTTCGTGGCTAGCAGCGGGGAACAGGAAACGTCAGTCAGGTAGTCGTAGATGACTTGACGTGTAAGGTGTCAGCTATTGGCGACTCACATGCCGAACAAACGAACGAAAATACGTCATACCGATTTCTCGGCGCATCTCGCATTTTCGACATTTTTTAATTTTTTCCGATAAAAGAAAGGGATAATTTTCACGCTATGTTTTCTATGACCGAAATGAGAAAGGAATGTACCAGTCAGCGAGCAGGATGATTTTAACTACAGCCTAAAGCCTTAAAGTTTGATAAGCATGCGAGTTCAATCGATTCAGAGATACGCGTCCGCCAAAGATGGAGCTTCGGACATGAACGCGATTTGAAATGAGTTTAATTCACTTATCGATTCGTTGGAGATCACGAAAACACAGGTACGCGCATCGTTCATAAAATCTCGTTGATCGACCAGTTATGCGGAAGCGGAGAATCTAAATAGTGTGTGTGTGTGTGTGTGTGTGTGTGTGTGTGTGTGTTTTAGACCGGTTGCTTGAGACATGCAACTCAAGTATTCTTGTGTATAAATACAATTAAAGAAAAGGAAAATTTATATAATAATATTTCTTGATGATTATCTTTACCTTCTTGTATCTTCATTTGTTTGAATATTAATTTTTCTTTTAATTTATAACAATTGAAACAATCATTTTAGAAATCCTATAAATAAAAAATTTTAACTTTCGAAGAACTAAAAAAAACCATTCTAGTTTTTACAACTAAAAATAAGTAAAGATAATAAGTTAAAAATATGTAAAAAATAACTTATTGTCTCATACATCAAGTGAGTGAAATATAAGTTACTTTTAGAACTTATTTCCAAATGTAAAACTAATTTTAAAGAAATTGACTTATTAAAAAAATAAATTAAGACAATTAACATTTTCGTACAAATAATTATATACGTAGATTTCTCTTTAGAAAATTCTTTAAATATAATGACGCACTTCTAAAGACGTCATAAAAAATAACGGATTGTAGTCTAAGATATTTCACTTCATTGTTTATTTTACAAGCATAATGTGAAAAAAAAATTATTATTGACTTGTGAATAAGTTTCCAGTAAAAATCTAATATCTATAAGAAAAGAATGTCCGAGTGTGATTTTTTTTTAAGAAATTATGTCTTTATCTCTCATTTTAAGGGAATTAGAAATTTTTATATATATTTTTGATAAAAATTGTCTTCCTAAAATGACTAATTCAATTATTAAAATTAAATAAAAACTCTAAAGAGAAAAACATTTTTTTCAAACAATCCACTTCAATATTTTGTTTATCCTTTTTCCATCCTTGCTGTACAGAATAATGCAGAAGAAAAGGCAGAATAATCGAAGGCTAATTTGTCTTTTCTTCCGGTTAAATAGCATAACACTCTAAGTTTAGTTGTTTTTAAAATCTTAGTTTGGAAAAAAATATAAAATGTCCAGATGTCAAGAAGTCTTAAAGTTCATAATTTTTACATTTCTCTACTTCATAAGAATATAATGAATGTAAATCTAACTATAACACATAATAAATTATATAGTAAAAATACACCTATAAAATTAAAATTCATTTTGAACATCTCACCTACCAAACTTGTGTATCTTTAAACTACACACCTACCTATTTAAAGGTTAATAAATAATGAGAACACAATAAACAATATTTCGTTATCTAACGCGCGTGCGAAATTTGTCGGATAGACCTTTTAACTGGTATTAAACGTAAAATTCGAAGAAATTACGAGGACACTTAACGAAGCCGTGATAAATGGCTCAATGCAATTTCCTCCGTTATTAATAAATCTATTTATTTTTAGATAAACGAATAATTCGATAACAACCGATATGCCGGAGCTATCTAGCAAACTTTTATACAAGTATAGCGAGGAGAGTACTGACGATATACAAGGAAGAATAACACCGAGTTGTCGATCGTCATCGATATAATCATTAATGGATATACATCTAGCGCGATTTATAGTCATCGGAGCTGTTACCGCACGCATTTTATCGTTGTGTTAACACAAGTTACGGTAATGTTAAGCCTGATAAGTGAGTAACCTCAGGTGTACGCACTTCGAAAAAATGCACTTAATGACGAGCAAGCCCCATGAAAATAACTATAAATTGTTGACAATTGACTATGCTTTGAACTATTTACAAATTATTTAATGCAGAATTATTTACAAATTAACAGCTCGCAATCCGAATTATAAATCGTCTCCCGTTACTATTGATTTTCAGTAAAATTAATTCGATGACATAAAATTAATCAATGTTCAACACGGAAACGTCTCCTTCTTTGAGGAGCATCTCTGTGCATATTTATTGTAAGTAAATAGATTTTCATGTATTTCTGTTGTTTTATAAAACAGCATTCTGGTTTGTAGGTTATTATGTTGCTGCTAGATTAAGCTATACTGAAGCATTTTACCGACTCAACTTCCATATTTCACTCTTTTCAATCATCTATCATGTTTAATAGATAGCCACGGCAGTGTCGCTGTGCTTGGCTTAGCGCAGAGACACTACCGTGTCTCCAGATTACTCTGAAGTAATGAAGACTGGTATCAGTGTAAATTGTATTCTGACTTGGCTCATAATTCATGTGGCAATAAGAGAAATTTTCATTCCTTTCGCAATAAATGTTTTTAATTAGAAATATTATATTTTCCATTTTTCACACATTTATTAATTTTCTAAAAAAATAATATTTGTTAAAGGATGATATTTTGATTTTATTTGTATTAAAGCATATATAATTTAGTACTTGACTTTTTCAAAACAGGTAATGACTTTGTCAAAATCACGTTGTTTTTAAAGAGCTGAATTTCTTGTTCATGAAAAATAGTGATTAAATCTCTGTTAATGACTAAATATTATTTTTCTGTTAAATTGATCTTATATAGATAAATGAATACACTTAAGTAAGAAAGCGACCATATTTCCTTAACACCAGATTAAATTTTTTTTTCATGTTTTGAAAAAAAATGGCTCTTTCATGCCCACTCTCCCTTACCATGAATATACTACCTGTTCTGATGCTCTCGACTTTTTTGATGATTTATGGATGATGCTGAAACTAGTCGTCTTTTTCAGCCGCCTTTTCGCGCAGACCAGGAACGAATAACTTCGGGGCCCCGAGCATTATTCGTTCCTGCAGGCCTATTCTGTAACTCTTAACGCAAACTGCGTTGTCATTGTAACGTTGCTGTGCAGCTTTATCTTCATGGTAAAAAAGCTGCGCAGCGGCGTTATAATGACAACGAAATTTGTGTTAAGAGTTACAGAATAGATCTGCTGGTCTGCGCGAAAAGGCGGCTGAAAAAACGGCTAGTTTAGCGTCATGATTTATGACCGTATGAAGGGATGGAAAAGCGGAACCGACTATGGCTGCGTTCGGATGTTTCCGTGTTTGGAACACAGAGAGAATCAAGCTGACATCAAAGCTCTATCTCTATAGACATGGAAGAGATTGAAGAAATCTGGTCATGTGATCCCCGTCCTGATTGGACATGAGCATTCACGTGATGCAATTTGCCACTCTCGACTCGTGAAGTTCTCTACTACTACTCACTGCGCTCGATGAGTAGGAGCTATGGTCGGGACATATTGAAACATGTTGGAGTATGCGACGCAAACAAACCTCGATATACAACTGGTATTTCCTCTGTTTTCATTATTTTTTTTCCTTCTTTCTATGTTCTTAGAAGGGAGCTCTAAAATATTCTCTTTGCAATAGATCGTATATATTTCTGCATACAATTACATATTCTACACACATCGGCGCAGGAGCGTTTTGTTAGAGGAAGGCAGTCACGAAAGAACCTAAGCGAAGATTACTACCACGATACAGAAACACAAAATGTATTATCGTACATCAGGCTCTTTAATAAGGCCTCGCTGTCTAAATATACTATATAACTTCGAGGCAATGAATATGCAAAGTGTTAGTTAAAAGTAAATATTAATTATACTAGATAAATTAACTGTGTAACGTCATTTATCTTAAAGGAACAATCAGTTAGCTATTTCCATATTATCGTTAAAGTATGCAAATGTCTTAAAATGAAATCAATGCTTTCTATTGCAAAAAAAAAGCCATTATACTTTATTATTCTACTACTCTAGAAATAATCTTTTCGCAGCTAAAAGAACTGAATATCCTTTAATAAACTATCTTATAATGGAACAAATGTCGAGTATCTATTTTCGATTTGTGTCATTGTATATCTCTGCATTTATAAACGATGTTGATTCCCAACGATTCGATGACAATAATTCACTGTGTATTTCGCTGTCATTCAATGAAAAACTGCTTATATTATATATGCTAATAAAAATAATGACTTTTTTCTACAGTATACAAATAATGTTTAATTTATTTCATTCTGCCTACATTACAAAACAATAGTTATTTAGTATCAGTAGTAGTAGCATAGTCTTGATTGTCATTCTATATTTTAATAAATTCTTTGATAGAATCTTACTTTAAAAAGTAAAAATTGAACCAATCTTGAGCAAAGTGACTCAATTTTCAATCTTTGGCCCAGTTCCACAACTCACGGTTAACTCTCAATCGAGATTCAACTTATTTCTCATCTCTTTCCAATTCTAGAATTAAAAAGAGACAATGAACCTCGGTTAAGAGTTAACCGTGAGTTGTGAAACTGGGGTTTAAGAATGAGATTTCACTCTTTAGAATGAGATTCACACCGTAACTTTTAGAGAATACATTTGCTAGTATGTCATACCGAAAGTTGTGTGTGTGTGTGTGTGTCAAACCGAAGTAAATTCAAAATATTCATTATTTTTCACTCAAATAAATCCCGACATGGATTTCTCATAAAATATCTACGGGGATACTATAAAAAAATTAATTATGCTTAAATTCCAAAACTGTGTGTGTATTTCTAAGAATCGCGCAATTTGCGAAACGTCGAGGGTCTCGAGTTCGCGAGCGTCTATAATCGTGTCGTTGCTCGACGCTTGGTGCAACCTCTCCTCCTCGAGAGGGGGACAAGAGATACGGAACGAAGAGCTCCTAAGAAGTTGCGACCTCATCGTAAAACGTTACGTAACACCGATAGCGCCACTTCGTGTGCCCCGCGCTTCTGACAGCCGGTCGCGCGCGTCGTCTTATCACGTCGCCACACTGCGTCGCGTATCGTCGTGCGACGCCAGCCGAGAACACGATTCAAGGTTGACCGCCGTTGGGATAATCACGAATCTATGGGAAAGTACATACAATATACGAGATATCGAAGAAGCGGGCGGCGCGTACGGATGGGCAAAACTAGAAATCCTCGAGTAAAAGATTTGGACGTTTGGTCTGTCATTTTTCGGGATCTGCTTAAGATAGAATGAGATAAATTATGTATAAGATAGAATGACATATCCACGCATCTCATTCTATCTTACACATCTATTCTATCTAAATCTATTTTAAGCAAGTCTCGAAAAATATGGCGGACCAATCAGAAGTTGTCTAAATAATGTCGATCTCTTTTGAGCATCTCTAGACAAAAGAAACTGTGCAGAACAAACGAAATTCGCGTGCGAGCGTAACGAGTGAGGCAACGAATGACTGCACCAAAATGTCACGAAATGAACGAAGGACTCGAAGGAGGCACGAACGCATGGAGATTCTGTCTCTTTTCTCTTTTCTCTCTTTCGATAGCAATTATTATTGCGCGCATTACGCAATTCTTTCGCCACTTTTCTCGGCGCGCTACTGGCCAATGACCAGGACTAGATAACGCGCGCGCCCCACTTTACGGACTTGCTAATCTTGGACTATAACTCGAACTAGATTCCTCCGAGTTATGGTTCTCCTTCTTCTTCTCTTTCTCCTCTTTCCTCTCTTTCTCTCTCTAATGATATTATCGTCCTGAAAATCAGATTCTGCGCAAATTAATATGTCTCCTCGTCGCACTTTTGACTTTACTGTGAAATACCATTATCCGTGAAGATGTAAAAATTTATATGGATCTTTTATGACTTTTACGTGATTCTACAAGGTTTGGACGTGTATATGTGCATCTAATGATTTCTCGGATTTTCCAAATCTCGACAAGATGAAATAGAATATATAATAAATAGAAAAATAGATAAATAGAAAAACGAGATTTCTCGTTTTTTAACCTAGTTACATTTTTAATTTTGTGTTTACAATATCGAGAGAGCGGATTACGTCTATTAATATTTTAATTAAACGTTTTGAACAAAATATTTAAAGATGTCGTAAACAAGAATCTCTTAATTACATATTTGCATGACATTTTGATAAATAAACTAGCGATAGTTTCAGTAATTCTGAAATTATCGAAAAGACAGGATAAGTAATTCGAAAATGAGCAAATTGAAATGTATTGTTCAGTTAATCTATTTCACGATTCCTTTTTTATCTTTCCTTTGTAGCTTTCCTATCTTTATCGGAAAATAGTTAAAAATACATGGATCTCCTCCAAAAATTTTTCCTCTAATTTTTTAAGACGGATATTGAGTGAATGAGTTTTATCTAAGAATGTCCCCTTCATTAAGTTTCATTAAAAGAAAAAAATAATTCAAAACTTGTTCTTCAAGAAATAACGCTAAAATAAGCGGACGTGAATTATGAAATATTTTCTAGCTGAATGTATATATGTATGTATGTCACAGTCAAAGAGTTAACTCAGTAAATGTATGTACACTTATTAAAGTCTGCTGTAGTCAATGTATTGACTAGTAAGTGTATATGTTTACTAAAGTTAACACTTTGACTATGACATATACATATAATGTAAAAAAATATACATTTATAAGTAGTTTAAAGATAAAATATATATATATACATTTTTTTTAAAAAGCTAAAAATATGACTGATTACATGGTTCAATGATATATCAAAGATCTCGGCAAGGCCATTTCCATAAGAAAGAATTCTTCACAGACACAGATATAATTATTCATATCGTAAAAAATACCTTTTTCATTTTTAAAAGTGTCTCTTGATTATTATGTCATTTATGCAACCAGACAATGTCAGTCTTTTTTTCTTTTATATTATTTATTTTTCATATTAATTCTTAGATAGACGTGTGTATATTTCTTTTGTATTATGTTAATAAGTATAATTTCTCTTGCACAGAAAGAACGGTTTTGTTGAAGTATCTAAAATTTTAGCTACATACCAATCTGAAAATAGTTCTGTAGGTCCATCAAAATAATTATGTAAGACGCTTAAACTGGTTGCTAGAATGTTTGAAAGACAACGGCAACACGGTTCATTGCATTTTTCTGTCGAAGGTCTCAGTATTTGTTTGAGATTAATTGCTTATTAAAATTGTCCATGTAGAAAATATAAAAATCTTGATGACTTCCTTTTTTTTAGATAAGAATATTGAAAAATATTAAAAATTCGCGAGTTAACACGTGTTTTTAGAAAGTGATGTTTCTAGAAGTGTTTTTTCCGCTCAAACAAGTTGAATAAAAATGTAATTTTTAATGAAATCGATTTATTTTAGTTTACGCGATAGCCACGCAAATAAATTTTAAGAAAAAATTTTGTTTTTTTATTTCAAACTATTGGTTTTCGAGATATCGTGCCAATCATTTGGTCATCTCATTTTTTCAACGCTGCGCCTTTCTAATTTCTTGGAATTTTGGAATGAAAATATTACTGTAAAAATTTTTTTCATATATTGACATGTATATTAATAAATATGTAAAAAATTAGAATCATATGTCTTATAGTTTTCTTTCCAAAAAAAGAAAATTCCAAAAAAGACCTTATTTTTAGTGTGGTTACACCAGAATGTACGCTTATAAGAATTTTAAGAATGAAAATGACAAGATGTTCGCGTCGAACGAATATCTCGCTTTAATTAATGATGTTAATTATTAAACATCTCATATACCGAAAACATATCATATAACATATTCGAGCTATTACAGTTGCGATTATCAAGACTTTAATTTATTACTGATTATTATTGTTGAGGGATCATTTTTAAGAAACTATACTATGTTACAACAATTTTATATATCTTGACTCATATTACACACAAAGGACTAATACGAGTCTCGCTGTCAACGGAGATCTAGTTTGAATAATTTTGATTGTTATATATTCGTTTGGACATGGTGTGACAAAACTATTTCGACTGTAATAATCTCGAAGAGGACGAATGATATTTTTAGAATGTTACCTCATTTTGACATATTAGACTGTAGATTTTAATAATTTATTTTATTTTATTGTATTCATGTTGTACTGAGGAAGACTCTGTGAGTCGAAACGATTACGGAATTATTTTTATGTGTTAATTATAATTAAATAGTTATTATTCTAACATCTCTTTTTGCTCGTTTATTGGTTATTATCAAGATTTTTATATTAAAATATTTTATTTCTTATACAAACTTATTGTGAAGACTAATGTTTAATTTATTAACTTTTATTACTTAATAGTAGTGTGAAGTTTACTTTAGACGTGTGTGAATTGAACTAAGAACTATATATCTTTTATGATTATTTCTTATACACATTTATACAAGGCTCTTAACCGTCCAGAGATTGGTACATCTAAAATATGTAATTTCGTGAGAAAGAACAGAAGTGAGAAAGAACAGAAGATATGAAAAAAATGTGACAGAATTAACATTCTTTTGATACACCCAAAAAAAAGTATGTTTAAATTAAAGAAATCGTTTTTTCGTTGATTTGTTTAAGATGAAGTAAAAATACCTTTGAAGAAAAAAAGAATTTACTTTTTAGGAAAAAGAACAAAAAATACACAGTGGAAAATCCTATATCAAAATTGACGTGTCACGTTTTTTTGAAGCATCTTTTCAAAGGGGTGTTGGAGTACTCCGATTTCGATATGCTTCGTATTCGGGGGTTTTATATTTATGTTAAATTTAACGTGCTCCAGACGGTCCACTCAAATTTTTATTAATTTAACACGAGATGAATATTAAAATTTAACAATAGTTATTAGAGGTGGCTCGATTACATAAAACATACATACA